TGTGGTACATGGCCCGTTAGTAAAGACAGATTGATCACAGACGTGCTAACTAACGGTAAAACTTCTTTAAGCAGCCTAGTCGGTATAGGGTTTAAGACAGTGATTCTCAACTGGTGGGTCGCGACCCAAAAGTGGGTCGCGGACCCATTTTCAGTGGGTCTCAGGCCTTTGCCTATAAAAAAATAAATAATAATCCTATTTTTTATGCAGCGTAGTGCCCTCTATTCACACTCCTCAACAATATTTGGCGTTAATGCTTTGTAATGCTAATATCAGCAGAGGATAAACTGAAAACTAACTCTCTCAAATGACACTATAAGTAGGCGAATTGAAGACATGTCGGATGACATCAAACAACAGACCACAGCTCGAATTAAGGCAAGTGGTCATTTTGCATTACAACTGGACGAATCTACAGACACAACAAACAAAGCAGTTTTCCTCTTTTACGTGAAACATGTGTGGGACGAGGACTGACAGGAACAATTTATCTGCACAAGAGAGCTCCCTATACTACGACTGCAGAGGACATTTTCAGCTCAGTTTCGAACTGCTCCATCTTTTCATTAAATACATTTGAGAAGTTGAACATTTTCCACGATTTCGGTCGCAGCTTGTCATTAAGGGGTGATGGTGGGTCCCGCAGCCAGACCAGTTGAGAACCACTGGTTAAGAGACAGGTAGAAGGTTTGGACGTAGAAATTGTTGAAGTCAATTTGTCAAAGTCGATGGGAGTAAAGCCATCTAAATATATCAGGGTTTACAGCTGTTTCTAAGGTTACTCTATTTGAGGAAAGATCAGTACTGGTTGAGCCCAGGAGATTATTAATGTTCTCTCTAATAGTTATAATCTGATCATTAAAGAAGTTCATGAAGTCATTTCTACTGAGGTTTATAAGAATACTCTGTCAGCCTGGCTACAGTGCTAACGAGAAACCTGGGCTTGTTCTTATTTTTCTCTATTAACGATGAGTAATAAGCTGCTCTGGCATTACGGAGGGCCTTCTTATATCTCTTAAGACTGTCTCGCCAGACTAATCGAGATTCTTCCAAATTCTTCCAAATTATTTTTAGAGGAGCAATAGAGTCTAGTGTCATTCTCAGTGAGCTTGTAGCACTATCGACAAGATGATCAATCTGGGATGGACTAAAGTTAGGTTTAGACGTAGAAATTGTTGAAGTCAATCTGTCAAGGTCGAGAAGAGTAAAGCCATCTAAATATTTATCAGGGTTTATAGCTGCTTCTAAGGTTACTCTATTTGAGGAAAGATCAGTACTGGTTGAGGGCAGGAGATTATTAATGTTCTCTCTAATAGTTATAATCTGATCATTAAAGAAGTTCATGAAGTCATTTCTTCTGAGGTTTATAAGAACTGTGGCTAGGTGGGGAACAGGGCCGTTCTTCAATCAGAAGATCGGTGGTTCAATCCCCAGCTCCGGCTCCGTTAGTCGCATGTCGATGTGTCCTTGAGCAAGACACTTAACCCCAAAATTGCTCCCGTAGCTGTGCCTACGGTGTAGAGATGTGATAGAATCTGAATTGTAAGTCGCTTTGGATACAAGCGTCTGCTAAATGTAATGTTATCACAGGAGTCCTCTGTTATATTGAGGCATGGTTTTGAGTTAAATACAGGTATAGTGAGTGGAGTATCAATAAAACTAGAATTCCACTTGAACCGAAAAAACTGGAGCACAGACTTATAGCCATATTATTTTACCGATCTATGCATGACAAATTCTCCAAAAGGCACCAACACCATCACAAACATATTTTAACAGCACTGAACATTTCTGTGTCAAAATAAATCCACGATGCCAACGGAAACATTTAATTTATGATCACTGTTGGAAACATTATGACCTCGCCTTCAGTTGCAGTCTTTCTCAGTGTAATACATTTGCTGACAACTAGATTGTGTGTCCTTTAACAACATATTGTGGTTAATACTTGTTCCTCGTGAATTTACATGTTTTATAGATGATGCACAGTAGTCATATGTAATAAGATAAAAGCCACAGTTAGTGCAGCTGCTGCTTTTTTGTTCCAATTCAAGCATTGTAAGTAACCTCTCGTGTTCATGCTAATAATGACCGTCTCTCCAATAAAAGATACCGATAGATGATGTTGTCCAGGCGATAGTGGCACCACATATGACATCACTCATTAGGGTTTTTTGGGAGGCAATAAAAGCATGTTTTGTCGTTTATTTTGGAAGAACGGTTGCAACCTTTCATTTTGTACAAAAGGTCTCTCATATCTACATAAGAAGGAGCTCTCACTTCATCTCATATCTTGTCATATCATACCAGGTTCTCAAGCAGGAAAATGAACTTCACGAGGCCCCGTTGTGAAGTATCTGGTGAGCGTATTATACCAACAGGTGGTCAGCTCATCTTTGATTGGAAACTTTGTTAGTTTGTCTGTATCCATGTTGGTAAGGTTACCACATGTATCATTTTGACATCAATAAATGATTGCCACATGAATTGCCAGACAGTGTAATTACAACAAAATGAATTACGTCCCACGCTCAAAGTATTACGGTTAACTAAAAGGGTTCTTCTGTGTACATTTCAAAGATCCTCGTCCTAATGTTCTGTTCTCGATAGATAGTATTTTAACATCTCTGTTTTTATTCAGCATCCTCTTGGCTGTTTTAATTTAAATATAAATTGGATGTGTGATATGATCCCTGCTTACACCAGGGAGTTTCTGATAGCTATTGGCACTGTGCTGCTTTAAATCAGTCGTCTCTTCCAACAAACGGCATGCTATGGATTCATTCCACGCACAAAATCACCTTATTCTCTAATATATTCATGCGTCTCAGAGCACGTCTGCTGCTGGATTCTTTATCAAAGCGAGAGGAGCGTCCACAGTGACCGACCACACAACCCATCTGATGTTATTACCTATGCAGCAGCGATAATGACAGAAAACACCTCTCGGTCTCTCCGGACCAACGTCCTATTTGTCCACGTTTCCCCACATCGTCGCATATCTGTTTATCTCTGTGTCCCAACTTCAATGGCACCCCGCTCTCTTTACCTCCTGCTTCTTCCTTCTTAATCCTCCTCCTCCTCCTCCTCCGTGGTAACTCCCTCCCATGGTTCCAACAGCTCCATCATCTCTCTCTCCTCACCTCCCCCTTCCGTCTGTTAATTGGATGAGCTGTCACAGTTGTGAGGAAGATTAAATTCCAGTTCGGAGTGCCTTCGTGAGCACAGAGCTCCCGTTGGATAAGTGAATGTATATTAGTGTAAACCTATCCACCGTCACTTCACCTGCACAGGAAGTTCAACAGGACTTCTTCATTTTATATGTCCCACAATCAGTCATGGTGGGAATTTAGAAAAGAGGAAACATGATCATGAACTCGAGGCTCTGAATTCTCAGAGAGAATAACAAAATATACAGAACATCAAGGTCAAATAGAGCCAGTCAATGCAAAGCGTCCTTCAAAAACACTCCAGTTAATGTGAATTGATATCGCATCTTGGATTAATTGAACTAATAGATGAATAACACTTGCCATAGAAGACAGACTGAGGTCCATCCCCACCCCCAGGGAAAAGATTTGCATTTGCCAATAGCACATGGGTAAATAAAATGAACTCATTGTTAATGGAATAAAGGCACTTGGGCAAATCAAGCACTCGTTGAGGTGCGTGGACGCTGAACTTGATGCAGCAGCGTATAGTCCTCTATTCATCCCTTTAAAAAACAGCTTTTCTGATGGAAATCAGTGGCGTCCTCAGACCCTTTCCTTTCATTCACAGTTTGTAAACAGTTTCTTCTTTGAGCTGCAGGAACAGGCTCTGTACAGTATTACATAATATATGATGTTTTATATAATGTAAAAACTTGACCAGTAATGTGGTAAAATGTCCTGGCTGATATTGTACTGACATTTTACCGATAATGTCATTTGAATAAAAATCAAAAAGTTTGTCGGAGCCTTTTAATGTCACCTTTTCTGTTCATTTCAAATTCAATTTGAAAGACTTTGTGGAATGTGGAGATGTCACACGATGGGTTCTGGCAAAAGAGACACTTTGAATCACTGTTGACGCAGATGGAAAAGAACATTTCATGGAGATTGAATTGACCGTTTCGCCTTCATCGCTCACTTGTGTATGATGAACCAATCAGCGTGGGTGTGGGCGGGTTCATTTCCACATTGATAGGGATTTTATTTTCATAAAAAAATTTCAGAAAGCAAATCACCTCGACTATCTGTTGTCAATTTCAAATTCTACATGAAGCCTAGTTTACATTTCCGAACATGAAGTCAGTAGATGTGTTGAGTTTTATTACATTCTCCATCAGGTTAATAACGGCGTTATTACATTCTCAGCTGCTACAGACTGTAACGCAGTTACGCGTGCAAACTGCGTAAATCCAAGTGCGTCATCACACACCTACGAGACCGTCACGTTATTATGTGTGCACGAGCTTTCCGCTTCACGTACATGTCCGCAGCATAGAACTTTAGAAAATTGTTTTTCCTCCAAACTTCCGGGTGATCAGACACCTTGAGGAGGAAAAGTAACTCACCCGACCGATCACTGAGTGTCACCCAATAAGGAGGCCGACACGTGCATCTGTTTGGATCTGACTCTTTTACTTTGCTGTAACTGAAATGAATCACAAATTAAGTGTTTAGCAAAAATACAACCGTGAATACAACATTGAGCTTCTCCACTTTATAAAATATCCCCCATCAAAGACTAACAGCTTACATAAGGCCCTTTTTATGATGAGATAAATGATCAGTCAGGATGCTGAATGACTTAATGAATATATCAAATCTGATCACAATTAGACTTTAAGTTGGAGAATGTCCAGTGACGCACAACATGTGCAGCTCGTGCCATCAAAGGGCTCTGACTGTAACTAAATTGAAGGACTACTCGTGACTGGGGTCGCGAGTAATCACGATACAGGAATGGTTGATATATATAGGAGCGCATGTGAGGCTCTCTGGACAGGAGGACGCACGAGACGGAAGAAGCTTGCTGCAGGGGCTGAGCGCGCGGAGAGCTTTTTGGGATCCCGGCACAGCGTTTTTGACGCACGCACTCACGCACTATGGACTACTGTTGAGCTCTTTGGGAAGAAGCAGTGCGCAAACAGAACAGCTGCTGTTGTTTTTTTTGTTTTGAAGTTGAATAGCGTCGGTTACTTTAACACAACAGTGAGTCTAACACAGATAATTGCAGGTTCGGCATGATGAAGTTAGTCATTTTACCGGTTTTAATGGCTTTTTTCGCCGTCGCCCAAGTTTTTTGCGAGGAAAACGACCCAAAAGAAGATGCGGACTACTGGACGAACAGTAATGACATTCAGGTAATCTGCTGCAAGATGTTTATTTATAAATGTGCCACTTTTTTCTTCTTGTCTCGAGAAAAAAAAATCTGAATCAATATTTGTTTTTTAATCTTCTGGAGGAAAGTTGCATAAAAGCTGTATATAGGCTACTACTGTACATTTGTTTAACCCAAATATGAAAGAGCGCACAGCTTTTATTTTTTACTTTAAGGGATGTCAATTCAGCGATGTAAAGTGTCTGTATAGAGTAGAGCAATAATGATGCAGATTATTACAGGTGTGGGTTATCTGCACGTTTTCTTTACGGTTTGTTTAAGATGTGGTTTGGTGTATTTTTGTCATATTTTACTCATTCTTTGCTCTCTCCATTTAGCCATCATTTTGAGAAGATTATGATGAATTAGTCCTAAAACTGTCACACTTCTCCGCCTCAATTAATTCAAAGCAATTGTGTGACTGATCAGTTTCAGTTTTCCGAAACAAACAACCAGTGTGAGATAATAATCCTCTCTGTTCTCTGCAGATTCATTAATATTCCCAAATGAGTGACAATGTAGAGGTACAGCAAATGCTATTTCTATCAAGGAAATATGTTAAACTTGAGCCTAGAAAATTCTGTGAACAAGTTGATTTGTATCATGTGAAAGAATTCGAATTTAAGGAAAAAGTTGAAATGTTAAGGACAACCCATCAGTAGACCTCCTCGGAGCAGCAAGCCGACTGTGAATTAGATCAACCCTTAAGTGCACAGTATAGTGGGAGCTGCAGCCCGAATGGTCTCTATCGACATGAAACAGTTCAGAGACAGTTACATTATTTAGTATACGACCCGAGAAAAATACCTTTCACTTACAGGAAATGTACAGTAAGACTGGTGCTACTCGCTCTCGCTTGGTGCCTCATTCATTGAGATGTGTTCTCCCTCCTCAGGACGGCTGGCTTGCCAACGACCCATTCAGAGAAATCCTCCTGAGGATGACAAGGAAGCCGCGGCCGCACCAGTTCATCGGCCTGATGGGGAAACGCTCCATGGGTAGGTCTCGCTCTCCACGCCACGCCGTTTGTCTCTTCCTCTGTGGACCTCTCTTTGTTAACACGTTGCTCTCTCTTCCCTCCCACAGCAAATGCACAGATCACCCGCAAAAGTAAGTACGACATCACATTCAGCTGTCATTCTATTGCTTTTTTCCAAAGTCAGTAAGAAGAGGTAACTCTCAACTCGTCGTCACTGTCCAGTTAAAAACAAACCACCCGTCTCCATATTTCATCATTTGTATGTGTTGTAGGATTTATTTGGTTCCCAAAATACTACTGTGTAGCACTTTAGAAATACTGAGGTCATACGTCATCTAAGTACCCCCTCACCTCCCAGACACCAGATATTATCTCCAAAAAAACCGTAATATTTTGTAAAATTATTTTTTTTCATTAAAATGAAAATCGTAGTGCTTTCTCTAACATTCCTTTTGTTGTTGACTTAAAAGTGATCACATCTAAACATATGAAGACTGAAAAAAAATTCTGCAATCAACCGAAGAAATACCCTCCATGTGTAAGTTTGTAATTATGGAATATAATCTCCCCCACATTTCCATAAAGATTACAGTGAACATGATGTCAGGGTCATCAGTGAGAGCTACACCCTTGCTAGTGCGCATTGGGCTTCAAATAAACCCAGTGAATTATTCAGAATGCTTCAAAATACTAAAATGATAAGATTACATTTAGATTCTCATGCTTTATGAGGAGGTCAAAATCAGATGAATGGGTTTCTGTACATATTTGACAGCAGTGAAAGATCAAGCATGGAGCCAGCTGGTGTTTTAGGGTATTTCTATTTATATATTT